GTCACAATAAACTTATTTGTAAAACCTTGCAGAAGGTTCTATAATTTCAGTGAAAAGTTTGCAACGTATTGAGGAGACCCTATAAAGTATTTCTATTCATGAACAGCATTATCAGATCAGATCTACCCGTCTGTCCGTTTCTACACAAACTAGTCTCTCAGTTTCACAAATGTCTGGATACATTTTTACTAGTCGGAAAGAGACAGATCTGACGAATATATCAAAAAGCTTCCAAAGGATTATTGAGAAACATAATCAATGCTTTATTTCGAAGTATATTTAAAACAAGAAAGGAAGCCAACTTCGGCAAGCCGAAGTTCATATACCCTTGCAGCTATTGCAAAAATTAAACATTCTTGAAAACATTAAAATTATGATTTACTTGCGTAATATGTTTAAAAACATTGAAGCTATGATGATTTGCAGCTTAATTATTCAATAGTTCCTATGGCCAGCTATATGATATCGTTTTCCGATTTTAATAAAATTAAAAGCGTAATTCTGAATTGTTAAATTATTAATAAGTCAAAAAAAATTAAAAAATAAATAATAAAATAAAAAAGATAAATTATACATTTTTTTATTTATTTTTCCGATTGTTCCTATGGGAGCTATATGCTAAAGTCATCCGATCTGGCTCGTTCCGCCTTATGTTCTACCTGCAATAGGAATTTTTGCGAAAGCTTCATGCAGATAGCTTTAAAACTGAGAGACAGACGGACATGGCTAGAGGGAGTCTCCTAGTGATTCTGAACAAGACTATATATACTTTATAAGGTCGGATATGTCTTCTTAACTGCGTTGGAAAATACCCTTCTGAAAGGGTATAAAAATTCAGCTTTGCTATTTTTGAATACACTTCGAGACATAGTGTTGCTTTAATATTTTAGAAGTACCATTTCTTTTAGCTTAAAAAATTCATTAGAAAGTCGACATTGCTTTAATTTATTAAACCATACGCATAAAAAAGGAAACAGTCGTTTTAAAAAATAGTTTTATTATATTTATTGGACAGTTTTCCTTGGCAAGCACAGGTCCTTATCCAATTGTCCTTCGAAACAACCCTTCTAGGAATTCTAGGGCAGTCGCCCAAGGCAGACCCCAAAGAATCGACGTAAATGGTATATCCTTCTTAATTATATAAGTGTGTCAAACAAGTCTTGCTGTGTTTTTATTGAATTTTCAATTACTTATAAAATTGGTCACAATCATGCGATGTAAGTCAAATGTGCGCTGTTTTTTCGATGACTAGTTCATAACGAGATGCCAACTTTATAACGCCACTCTTATAGAAGCTCTTGGAGAGCTATTTTTCACAGGCCTCTTTTGTGGCCAACATTCGACTACCAAGCTCGTTCGCCATGGATAGGAACAAATTGGTGCGAGGTCCCCGGAATATACGGTGGATGCAATAGAACCTCTCATCCATTCATCCATCAGGTGCTTTTTGCGTGTGTGTTGCCTGGCAGAACCTTCCTGGCCGTCACCGCGCTCCGACCAAGAGCGTTTGCGCTTCACGTTGTCGATTTTCTTGCGATTCAGCAGCGATTCGCATGCGTCGATACGGCCAAAGATGATTATATAAGTCAATTCGTGTGACACATATATATCGAGCTTTTTTGTGAATTCAAGCTTCTTTAAATGGTTTACAAAGGATTGATGAATCATGCCAAGTTCTTAGACGATGCTACGACTGACCGGTCTCTCTCGACCAATTATTTGTAGAAAATAAGATAAACAAAAGTGTAGGAGCAAACAAATAAAAAAAAATATATCTTATCGTCCGATTCCAAAAATAGTGTTTATTCTTTGCAATGTGTATTTAGCTTAAACAGCTAATTGTAATTTAGGAGCCGCGTACATATAGCGATGCCAGATTTTTTCAGTCTAAAGATTGGCCAAAGTTGCAGAATAACATTTCGTCTGCTCTATAAAATCTAAAATTTTTATTTTATCAATCAACTATGCACTTTTTTTATTAATTGTGAAACTATTTTTATGTTGCGATTTCGTTTTAAAACCCCCAATGTGAAAAATGGTTATAAAATATCAACACTGATGCCGAGGCGACTTACTGATGTTCTAGTTATGCTTTGGTTTAATAATTTGCTTAGCTTTCGATTAAAACAATCCATAACCGAATTTATGTTGTGATATGAACAAGTCAAACGGTTGCAACTTTTTTAAGCCGATACTATATTGACTGATGTGTGGCCCATATAAATGTAATTACCTTGAAGCTTATATTTATGTTTTACGCAAAAATTGCACCCCGACTTAAACAATTGTAGGAAGGTCTCCGGTACACAACACTTTGCATATGTGCTAAAAAAATTAGGGAAGCAATAAGTGATAGAGATGGCAGTGTTCCAAGTGGTTTCTAGACCTGGAGAAAAATTATTTTAATAAGTTTAGAAAAAATTAGGAAGATTGTGAAGATGGTTATTATTCATTTAAAAACATTGCAGAATACATACAGAACACATGAACTAAAATAGTATATTAACCATTTCCATTGCACTCTTTTTAAAATTTCTCCATCCTAAAATCTGTTTTTTTTTTAAATTAAAAAACAATTGATGTAACGATAATACATCGAATTTTTTTCAGCTCTAGTTTGCACGGTTCTCAAAATCATATAACTTTAAGAAGTTTGTGACAAAAAAAAAAATAATTTTTACAGAATGAGCGCAGAAAGCTGTGAGATTCTTCTGTGTTGTTACGACCGGAGTCTCTGCCAGTAACATCATAAATTTGCGCGTTTATCAGATTTTTTACTGCCGTTTGCCTCGAGATCTCCTGGTAAAAAAGCAATCAAAAAAAATGCGCAAAAAAAAAACAGATGTGGGCACTGGCACGTTTTTTATTGCTTAACACCGTTGCTGTTTTAGTACCACTCGGGTAAATGACATCTATCACAAAATTGGAGAGTTCTCAGAGTAGATATGGCTTGTTGTGTTAATAAGAAAAGAAAATGACTCCAAGTGAACTAGATTTTCAAAATACATTCAAACGCAAATTTAAAGGACGACGAATCGTATATAGTTTCCGTTTTGGCGTTTGGTCTTTCACCACTCGCATTCTCCTTTTTTTCCGCATGTAACAAGCACTGCTTAGTTTATCAAAGTCCAAGAAGATCTTAATTGAATTTATTTTTTGGCTGATTTTTTTGTTATTTGCCAGGAATAGCTGCTGGTGATTGCATGATTTGGTGCAAAAACCTCGAAGCTTGATTATAAGGAATGAAACACCTACCAGCCGATTTTCTAGATTTTTTGATATTTTTGATATCATTGACTGATTAATTGTATAATATATATATAATTTTTAAAGAAGACGTGTAGGCATTTAATATTTTAGTTGCTGGTGTTTTTGCCGAACTGACTTCAAGTAAATAACGCTTGCTATTTATGTCGATAAAGTTTGAAAAAATTTCAACTTTGTTTGCAATTATTTTTAACTATGAAATCAGTATGGCATTATCGTTTTACCACATTTTTTTTTACATTTTGCTTTGTTAGTTGATTATCAAATATAATATTATAAATCCAACAAAAAAACTTATAAAAACATTAAGAAAACCACAATGGTAATTAAAAATAAAAAAAAACAAGCTTACAAAAAATAAATATAAAAAAATAATTATTAAACAACTTTTTTGGAAATAAACTTGGACCCGCGCAGTTCTGCCTCATAGATGTGTACCACGATGCTACTTAGAAAACAGCCAACAAGTTATGATATTAAGACTTTGATTTCCAAAATCATGTTTAAAAAACACTAACACAATGTATCAAACACAAACAACACACTATGAAAATCGTGGGTCTAGATCGAAAATCCACGATAACAATTTTTTGTCATTCGGTTGTTTGAGCGTTACGCAACTTAATGTATTTAAGAGTTTTTGTATTTTGTCTTTGTCACTGCATACCTCCATTTTAGCCTTTCTAAAATCATTGTTTTGACGAATTCCTTTATTAATTATGATTCTGCTTTATCTGCACTGTAACCCTTGAATATTGGTTATTGTTGTTCTAATAACTAACTTTATATTTTATGCATCTATTTGGGTTGTCTCCGTGTAAAGTTTTTCGCTTACTCTTACAATAACGTCCTTGATTCCGAAAAAGTGTTTACTCCTGAGGTTAGTTTAGGCTTTCTGTAAGCCAAAATTTCAATTTTTATGTCCTTGCAGAGTGTATTATAATTCCAGTCAGAAGTTTGCAACGCAGTGAATGAGACATTTCCGACCCTAAAAAGTATATAGATTCTTGATCAGCAACACTGGGAGTCGGTCTAGCCATGTCCTTCTGTCCGTCCGTTTCAACGACAACTAGTCTCTCAGTTCTAAAGCTATCTGCATGAAACTTTCCCAAAAGTGGTCTTTCTATTGCAGGTAGTCATAAGTCGGAACGAGCCGGATCTGACGATTACAGCATATAGCTCCCATAGGAACAATCGGAAAAATAATAAAAAAAATGATTACTTTGTTTTTTTTTTTATTTTTTTAGTTCTTCGACCATTACTAGTTAAATATTTCAGAGTTACGGTTTAAATTTTGTTAAAATCGGACGACTATATCATATAACATAGAAACAATAAAAATATTAAAAAAAAAATTTTTTTAATATAACTAGTTTGTAATTCTTTTTAAAAATTCTTTTTGACTAATGAATAATTTGACAGTTCAGAATTACGCTTTTAATTGTATTGAAGCCGGAAATCGATATCGTAAAGCTGTCATAGGAATTATTGAATAATTGAGCTGCAAGTTTTCATAGCTTCAATGTTTTTAAACATATACGCAGGTAACTTATAATTTCAATGTTTTTTTAGAATTACGGTTTAAGTTTCATCAAAATCGGACGACCATAACATAAAGCTTCCATGGAAAAAAACAAAAATAAGTTTTTTTTTTAATGTTAAACTTCTATTTTGTAATTTTTTTTAAATTCTTTTTGATTTCTTAATAATTTGAAAGTTCACAAATTACGCTTTTAATTTTATTAAAATCGGAAAACGATATCATATAGCTGGCATAGGGAATATCGATTAATTGAGCTGCAAATCATCGTACATAGCTACAGTGTTTTTAGACATACACGCAAGTAAATCATAATTTTAATATTTTCAAGAACATTTAAATTTTAGAACAGCTTCAAGGGAACTTCAGTTTGCCAAAGTTTGCATCCTTTCTTTTTTTGTTTGATAACAGAAGTTTGGTTTTTAAACCATAGTCAAAGTACCCCAATGTTTTTAAAATTATGATTTACTTGCGTATATGTTATTAAATTAAATAATCTTTAAAAACAATATTCGGATATGATGATTTTGCGCTTATTTGAGCATTTAGTATATCATTGTCTCATTTTAATAAAAATTAATTAATTTCATTAATTTGTATCGAAGAATATTCAAATCTATTGAAAAACAGCGAAGTTAGAATTTAATAATAATAAAATGTACATAACATATTTTCTAATGTCTTGCTCATTTTTTTTTTAAAGTATATGCACAAAATTTAGCTTAAGCTTAAAATAAATACTAAATATTTTTGAAATATTTGGTGACAACTTTTCTTGCTTTTACTTAAAAATATTTTGTATTACATTTTCAGGGGTTTTGGTGCTATGAACTGAGAAAAGTTGACGGTTTTGTTGCTTTCGAATTACCATGTGTTATATGTATATCAAAAGTTGTGGAATCTCAAGGGCGATATATTAAACATGTTTAAGAAAAATCATTAGGACCGTTTATATTTTTAAAAAAAGCGTTAAAAAATGTATATATATATGTTTATATATACATACATATATATATATATATATATATGTATATAATTAGGCAGCTTGATTAACATTTGTCAATGCCCTTTAAGCAGCATATGTATACTTTTCTGTAGATTTACTAGTTTAAAAGCTATGGTTTCTTGTCAAACTAGAGCACAAGTGTGGTGTCTTTTATTGATACTTTTAGATTGGTGTATCGGACCAACACAGCAGATGTTCAATTCTGGGTCAATCTTAGTAACTTCGGCCGTTCATTGTGATAATGTAATAAAAAAAATAACATTAAAGTTTTTTTCTGATTACCAGCTTCATTTTCTGGCTAAGAAATACCTTTCTTCAATGTGAGGTCTGACTAAAACTTATCAAATGATAAGTAATACAAACCCAAAAACACTGCCACGAATAGTAATAATATGCTGGATCTTGATTTTTGCTTGCACTCCATATTTATGCACATATGTACATATGTTTCAGGCTGGTCTGTATCCCATAAAATTACAGAGAATCGAGTTGACTGAAATTAAAAAAGAGTACTTTTCTTTACTTTATTTAAAAAATCTGAAACGCATTCACACAAATCAATCTTATAACCAGTAATGCTATACATACATACATAAATTATTTATAAAAGTATCTATGTGCATATGTTATTGTTCCATAACAAAAAAGGTAGTACACAATTTCACCTATCTATGTTCAAGTATGTTCAAACTTTTTTACAAGGGTTTCTTACTGCATTTAATTTTGTTACGTTCATAAATCTACCAATCTTAATATTTGAAAAGCCACACAAAGCAGTTTAGAAAGTGGTCGGTCGCAATAAAGAAACCAGAACAGAAACTATTTCTACAAAACAGTGTTTCTTCTTATCTATGTATACATAAATACCTATGTATGCACTAACCATCGATAATATTGATGGCTGGGCACCGGTCACGACCGGTGGGGCCCCGGTCGACTATCACGATAGTACTAATGACCTTATTCCACACAGGCGATCCGTTGGAAACGGTTGAAATTTTTAACAAATGTGAATGTCCTATTTCCACAGACCACATCCACCTTCCAATTTCAGCTGATCTGAACAGCAGTGGCTCGTTCAAACGTAAACAAAGCATTAACGACTTTAAACAAAGTCGGTTACGACTCTGGTTCTCACAAACATAGATTGCCACCATGTTAACTCAAATTCATTGCCGCCAAGTCTTTAGAGTTTCACCGAAAAAACATTTTCAAAATATATGCTAGAAATGTGCGGTAAGGAACAAAAATTCTACCGTCAAAGAACAACCGGCAAAACCTTACAGACCATCTTTGAAAGAGATGGTGGATGATGCTCTGTGGGACTAGGCCATAGTCATTTTTTCATATAGCCCCCATTGGAACAATCCGAATAATATAAGAAAACAAATTGTAATTTCGATAAACATCGATCAATACTATTGGTTTATTATTTCAAATTACGGTTTTCATTGTTTTAACGATATTATATAGCCGACATGGGAACGATCGAAAATTTTTCGGAAAGTCATTATTGCTTCCACTTTTGTTATAAGATATATTTACATATTACAATAGCTGCAGGGGTATATAAACTTTGTCATGCCGAAGACGCGTGCGTGGGTTAAGTCTGCGCAGCATAAACTAGATACAGTTCAGCTTTGTTCAGATGACTTCAGTTAAAAAAACAAGAAAGAAAGCAAACTTCGGCAAGCCGAAGTTCATATACCCTTGCAGCTATCGCAAGAATTAAATATTTTTGAAAACATTAAAATTATGATTTACTTGCGATTTAAACCATAATTCTGAAATATTTAACCATTGCTATATGTCGAAGAACTAAAAAAAAATTAAAAAACAGCAAAGTTATAATTTTTTTCAATTATTTTTCCGATTGTTCCTATGGGAGCTATATGCTATAGTCGTCCGATTTTGATGAAATTTTAACCATAATTCTGAAATATTTAACCATTGCTATATGTCGAAGAACTAAACAAAAAATTAAAAAACAGCAAAGTTATAATTTTTTTCAATTATTTTTCCGATTGTTCCTATGGGAGCTATATGCTATAGTCTTCCGATTTTGATGAAATTTTAACCATAATTCTGAAATATTTAACCATTGCTTTATGTCGAAGAACAAAACAAAAAATTAAAAAACAGCAAAGTTATAATTTTTTTTCAATTATTTTTCCGATTGTTCCTATGGGAGCTATATGCTATAGTCGTCCTATTTTGATGAAATTTAAACCATAATTCTGAATTATTTAACCATTGCTATATGTCGAAGAACTAAAAAAACAGCAAAGTTATAATTTTTTTCAATTATTTTTCCGATTGTTCCTATGGGAGCTATATGCTATAGTCGTCCGATCCGGCTCGTTCCGACTTATATACTACCTGCAATAGAAAGACAACTTTTGGGAAAGTTTCATGCAGATAGCTTTAAAACTGAGAGACTAGTTTGCATATAAACGGACGGACAGACGGACAGACGGACGGGCAGACGGACAGACGGACGGACAGACGGACATGGCTAGATCGACTCTACTAGTGATGCTGATCAAGAATATATATACTTTATAGGGTCGGAAACGTCTCCTTCACTGCGTTGCAAACTTCTGACTGAAATTATAATACCCTCTGCAAGGGTATAATAATGTAGTTTAGTGACTACGAAAATATCAATTGCGTACGAAGAGCACAAATGTGAATGACATAATTGACATATTAAGAAACCGCTTCGATGATAGGTAAAATTCGATAATTAACTGTTATCAAAGAGGATAATTATGACAGACTCACCACATTTTATTTATTGTCGTTCGATGATATCGATCAATTTCGAAATAATTTGCTATTTGAAGACGTATTAGAATCTTATTTATATAACATAAATATTATAAAACGGTTGTTTAAGCCAAACAATTAAAGTACCGACATTGCTTGTATTTGTATTTATGTCTTAACTCACCACACTTACAGTTTCAAATCCAGTCAAGGTTGGCTTATATAAAAATTATTTAAGTAAGAGAAGTTACCACAATATTATTTTTTTATTATTATTTATTTTATTATTATTTATTATTTATTATGTTTTTTTGTTCAACTTAATTTGTTCCTTTAAATCTTGATTTCCTTTATAATTTTTTAAAAAAATGAAAAACAAGTTTAAAAAAATAAAAAGAGCAAGATGTACAAAAAGAAGAAGAACCAAAATGTTTAGTTTTTCGCGATTGCGACTGCTGTTGGCAAAAACACATGAAATAAAACTTACTGCAGTTTTTTAAACACTGGTTTGTCCCAAGTTCAAGGCCGTCGACAAGCGTTGAAAATACACAACTCAAATGAGGTAGAAATCATATTTTGAAAAACCACAAACGTATAAACAATAGACTAATGACGATGTTTATGAGTAAGCGGACATAAAGGGTATTAGTTTAGCCATCAAGGGCAAAGAGCAGACTTCCAAAATGTTTACTCTTAGGATAGTAAAAACGGTTGCGTGTCTAAATTTCCCTAAGAAGACCATTTCAATCAGCGACATGTCTGGGACCAGCAATTTATTGAAGGACTTTTATTTTTGCTCCTACCAAAAAATATCAATCAACTCAAGGGCCTGTCGCTAGCAAAACGTCGTTAAGTTATGGAAAATTCCAGACACAAATTTTTCTTTCGACGTATACAACTGCCTAGGGTTTTTGGGTGAAGCTTAAATGTATGCATTTTGTAGTAGTAATTTAACTCACTTTGATTAGCTTTCAATTGTTTAATTGTTCAATTTAAAAATGCCTTCTGTAGTAGTATTGTAATACAGTTTTGTTTTGTACCTACGACTGAACTCTTCAAATTTTTAATTGCGAATGTCCGAACAAAAGTCGGTTACCGTACATTTGTATATTTTGTTGGAGTTGCCAGATTGTATTATGTACATAAATCTAGTCTTTTTATTATTTATATTTTAAAATTCGGCTGTCATGACATTCTTAGTACTTTATATTTCGATTTTTAAAGTTATATTATGGCTAAATCTTACGAGATCTATTATTTTCTACTTTTCTGTGATATTCCAAGTTATGTTTAGTCTTTGATCTTATTTTGTTGATTTAAGATTTACTCTTCTTTTTGAAACCTTTCATTTCATCGTCTTCTGAAAATTGCATTTTACTGTCTTCTCTAATTCTTACATTTCATTTTCTGCTTCTAAATCTTCTTTCTAAAAACCTATCTTCTAATTCTTGGATTTCACTTTCTTCAAAATCTTGCTTTTCACTTTCTTATAAATCTTACATTTCATAATTTATCCATAACTTAATTTTTGATAACCTTCAACATCTGATATAACATATCTGTCGTTTTTTTTGAAACAGCATCAACGTTGTAAGGGCTGTGTTGGTTAATTTTATCAGTTAATTAAGGGAACGAGTAATATCGTATAATTGGTTTATATACTTTTTCATATCGCTTGTATCGCATGTTATCGTCATATATTGCTAAAATAACTTTAACTTAACTTACATTTTTCGATAAATTTAACCAATTCTCATCTCAAGCATATTACTTTCTTCTTTTTCTATCTTTTGACGTATTTTTTGGAAATCTATCTTTGCTTTGGCATATTGTAAGATTTTGCTCAAATGTGTTTTCTTCTAATACTATATAGTATACCAGTAATTCTGTTAAGTACGTCTACATGCTGCATTTTTTACTATCACAATGTTCGATATCATTTCCGTATTTAACTCTGCCGACTATTGGGTTTATAATTTTGTCTAACGTTAAAGACAATGACGTACAATCTGTTCTTATAAATTTGTTTAAAGGCGAAAAACGCATATTTTTATGATTTTTTTTGAGGTGACGTCTATAACATTATTTTTTTTAATTTAATTACATGATATTATACAACTTTTAAAGAATGTAAGAAAAAAATTTAATTGTTTGTGTTTAATTGTTTTTTAAATAGGTGGATGTCGCTTTCGCCTTCCATTGTGTCAAATTCAGATATTAATTCCTTAAGATGAGTAAACGGAATGTTTTTGTAATTGGGCGTATCTTCTTCATTTCTAATTTTTACCATTCTTAACAATTCATTTTGCTTTGACAAAATTCTTGCTTCTCTTTTAAGTAGCGCCAATCTCGTTATGTCAAATCAAGTTTCATATCCTCGTAATATTCTTCCTTTTTGTTCTTATCTTTTTCGCTCGTTAATCCTTCGTTAAAATTCGGTTAAATTATTGGTTTAGGAATGTAAAACGCTTAAGGCATGTATTCGTTATTTTGATCATAGTCGTAGTACTTTTCAACAATTACTTGTTTATTTTCTTTTATATAATAATTCCGCTTTATTTTATTATTACGTCTTGATTTTCAGTTTGGTTTTCGTAGTTACTTATGCTCCCATTTTCTTGAATTGTTTTGATCTTTTTCTTTTGATTTTTATTGTCTTGCTTCTTGTACTTTGTAATTTGTTTTCTTTTTTTTCTTCCATATCGTAATTTGTTCTCCTTCGTTGCCTAGCGCATCGTACTTTTTACATAGTTTCATCTTTCGGTCCTCTTTGTTTTCACTGTTCTTATGGCTGGACAAAACGCCTTCCGTAGCAGTAATGAAGTACACATTTTATCTGTACAACGGCTGAACTCTTTAAATTTTTATTTGCGAGTGCGCGAACATAGCGAACATATTTTGTTGGCGTTGCCAGATGTTATTATGTACTTAAATCTAGTCTTTTTATTATTATCTCATTTATTTAATATTTACAATATTATCTTATAATTATCTTGCAATATATATATATATAGCGAAGATAAAGGAAGGTGTGAATTAAAAGTGAAAAGGTGCCACTCCCCGGGAACTGCCACGAAGCTATATTGAACTCTTTAAAGCAACCGTGCCCAATCATCTGCGCAGTGTAGAAATCCACCAGCCCATGCCTTCTGTTTAGTCAAGGAGCTATGATGGGGATCAGCCTGTGCGTCCATCGTCCGATTTTTGCGTTGTCCATTTCTCCTGCAAAAGTTTGACGGTCCTGGTCCGCTGAGTCCTGTCTCCCGCGATTCCAGTCCTGCGCTCTGGCGCTAGAAAATTAATCGACCACTAGGGCGGTTTCCTCAGATACTGTGCAAAAGCAGCTTGTAAACTGGGCTGTTCCCACTGTTTGTAAGGATCGCCTCCGTTTTATGCTCCGCCAGTGTAAGCTCGTTGCCTGCGAGCCAGCTCATCAACATGTCGATTGACCGGCTGTATTCGTCCGCTAAGTCTTCTAGCAATTTTTCCACCGTTACCAATGCTATAACGCCATCGTGTAGAGTCAGCATTTAGGGTACACCTCCGTGTTAAACGCGTTTTTCACGTTCAAATATTTTCCCCATTGTATTGAGCATACACGAGCATACACATCCTTCGGATGCCTTGCACCTAGTCATTTAGGTCTGTAGTGTTGGCTCCGACTTGACCATCCTCAGCATAACTGCGTAACCATCGCTGCACTTGATCAGAATGGTATCTGGTCGTTGGCTTTTGGGCTTCGCTGTGCGGTTCGTGTGGGCTTGTTAAGTCCCTGCGCCAGAAAGAGCTTTCTTGGGGCCTAGTGTTAGTGTTGGCTCACCCATTTCCAAACTTCGTGGCGATAGCTGCTTCAGGTGCAGAACCTGACCCAGGGGATGCGGTAAACTGTCTTGCGCTCGGGGTCGAGCCCCTAGTGTGACTCTCAAACAACCTCTCGCTGATCTCGACTTTCAGCGCCTTCGTTTCCTGCAGTGAATCTTTCGTGGCCTTGGTGTCCGTGAATATACTGATCATCTCGCCATTTTTCCCAGTTCCCCAGCTAGGACTGGAGCGCTCAATTGGACCCGTTGCTTCTTCTCGGCTCGTAGTTGTTTCCCATCGGGGCTCGCGAGTTCTCGGCTTCTTTTTGGGGTATTTAACTTCTCTTCGTTACCACCAGAAATGAACATAGAACTCGGTCGGTTGCGCCAGTCCATAGGCGACCGTTGCACCTTCTGCTTCATCAATTGGAAGTTTTTAATAAGTTCCTCGGTCCCCAGGGCCCCGTTTAATACGGGGCCGCCGCGCCGGAGGGGCTGGGAATTATCCAGAAGATAGCCATCTGCTATTTTTCTCCCAAGAAGCAAGGTAGAATGATGTAAAGGGAAAATGTAGAGGGGATGCGACTGGTTCGGCTATTAATTGGAATTTTTTATTTATTTAACAGCGCAGTTTCACTGCCTGTTTGATGCGATGCCCTCCAGCACTGCGATCAATCGCACTGTTAACCAGCAGTGTGCTATTACGCGCGGCTCTGTAAGTTTACTTTTAACCACGAGACTGTCCAACGCTGTGACAGTGGCTCAGTAGGTCTCAGTATCTCAGTCGAGACGGGCCTGATGATAGTGATAGGGAAAGCAGTCATATATCTTGCCTGACGGCACAAGATTTTCCTATTGAATGAGATTTTTAAGAACTAATGCTTGGGTTCTGAGATAGCTGACAAACCTTAGGCCAAATAAGATCCTAGTTACACTCACGCACGTCTTCTATCGATAACGGCATGGACGCAATGAAACAAAATAGCCTGTTACACTTGACAGACGTGATTCATTGTGTCTGAACAGCTGTTCTTTGTTTTTATTTGTCAAGGAAAATCCTCCCGCCTTTGTTTAACTGCTATTTTTGGTTGTTGTTTTCGGTAATAGTGGTAATAGTTCCCCACGAAAGTACATAGATATGCCAATTATCGAGTAAATATCTAGTAAACATCGAGTAAAAATCGGTAAAAATCAAAATTTTGTAGACTTATGCACTTTGACGCACTTTTTCGCCTGCCTGTACAAAACCTATTTAAAAAAACTGCGTCTAGACCCTAAGACTTTTACCAAAATTGAGATCTCAGTCGAAGAAATTTCCTAGCGGAAATGTTAATTTTTCTAAGTATGCAACTTAAACTTAACTTAAATAAGCTTGTGTCATCTTCAAGCAAATTAATTGGTTTACCTTTACTTTTATCTAGCGATAATTGGTTGAGACTCAGAGTGAAGATGAAATGAGTATTGCTTCTAAGGATCCAATTATTTTAAGCAAAGATAACCCTATAACAAAATAAATTATACATTATTACCATGTCCGAAATTTTCACATAGGAATAGAAACTGTAATTGCAAATATCCGTGAAAGGTTTTGGATTACGATATGTAGAAATGCAATCAAACAAGTCATTTAAAATTGTCCGCATTGTAAAAACAGAAAAAACAATCCACAAGCTACCTTAATTGTACATCATCAATATTGTCGAATTAAGCCAACCGATAAGTCCTTTTGAAAGTAGGAATTGAATTTTTTACACCAACAGAAATAAACTAGAACAGAAGCCATATCAAAACGAGCAATCCATCTTTAGATAGCGGAAGTCTTATATCGGCAATTTGATTATACCCCCTATATCCCGAGCTTGAGAAAGACTCATACAGTTACTAAAAAAAATGTTTGGATTTCTTAAAAAAAAATTCTAGAGAAAAATTCTTTGTGAAATCGAGCTTATGATGAATTGTAGATCACTTTTACTTGTGCCTTAGGACTCTCTTTTTGATCCGTTGACCCCAAACGATTTGATAATTGGTCCTAACTACCGATAATATTTTTATACAAATACCAAAGATACAGATTTGAGACTTTTAAATATGTGGAAACCGTCGAAAAGATTAGTCGACATTTTTTACCCTTCAGAGGGTATTATAATTTCAGTCAGAAGTTTGCAACGCAGTGAAAGGAGATATCTCCGACCTATAAATATATATATTTTTGATCAGCATCACTAGGAGAGTCGATCTAGTCATGTTCGTTTGTCCGTCCGTCTGGCCGTCCGTCTGTTCGCCCGTCTGTCCGCCCGTCTGTCCGTCCGTTTCAACGCAAACTAGTCCCTCAGTTTTAAAGCTATCTGCATGATCTTTCTATTGCAGGTAGTATATAAGTAGGAACGAGCCGGATCGGTCGACTATAGCTCCCATAGGAACAATTGGAAAAATAAATAAAAAAATATAACTTTGTTATTTCTTAATTTATTTTTTTAGCTCTTCGCTATATAGTAATGGTTAAATATTTCAGAATTACGGTTTAAATTTCATCAAAATCGGACGACTATAACTTAAAGCTCCCATGGAAACAATAAAAATATATAAAAATTTTTTTTTTCAAATTTAAGTTTTTAATTTTGTAATTTTTTTAAGAAATTCTTTATGATTAATTAATATCAAATTACGCTTTTAATTTTATCAAAATCGGAAAAAGTTATCATTGGAACTATCATATGCTTCAAATAGCTGTAAACATACACGCAAGTCAATCATAATTTTAATGTTTTCAAAAATATTTAATTTTTGCAATAGCTGCAAGGGTATATGTACTTCGGCTTGCCGAAGTTTGCTTCCTTTCTTGTTTTTAATGAATTCAAAAACAGAGAAGTTATAATTTTTATTTATAAATGAATTATGATAAAGTTTTCAAATATCAATAAAATTAAGACCGCAACCAGTAAATTAAACCAATACTTTACATCGCAAAAATTTAAACAAGAAGAGCATCCGAAATATATTGTCAAATAACCAAAATTGAAAATTGTGGTTTTTTTTCAACATCCTGACCCCGAGCCGGCTAAAAATTAATACACTTTGGAAAGGTCGCCAAAACCAACTAGACTAAACAAAAAAAAATTTATAAAAAACTAAGTTATTATTTTTGTTTTAAATTTTTCCCAATTTTTCCATTGTTAGTTATATGTATGATTTAGTCGTCTATCTGCAAAAGAAGTATTACTTTTCGAATAGTTTGAAGCAGATAGCTTGAAGTATTCAAGCTGAATACTTTTGCATACTCAGAAATAATTAAATATCTAATTATTGTCAACAGTAAACTGGTTTGAAGATTAATAAACTGCTTTAATGATTAATACACTTCATCAACAGCAGGATTTGATACTGCCAACTGAGTAGGTAACGGTTATTTTTATTATTATTTATTTATTTCAAAAACCAAGTCATGCAGTGACAACTCATGGTCGTGGTTTTGTGGTTTTTGTTTATTGTAACTAGAGTTTGGAGCCTTGCAGTAACAAGACAGTGGCTTCAAACAAACACTTCTGATATAAAATAACACATCTTGACGAGGTAAGAATAAAATGAAAATAGAACTTTACTTGTAGCGCTCGAATACTGAGGCAATTAAATATAAAATACAAGAAAGAAAAACATAATTTTTTCTAGTCGTCTATACTCAACTTATTTTTTGAAAAAAAAAAATAAATATAAAAACTTAGCTTAAATTAAAATAAAGGTAATACTTTTGGAGCAAAAAAAAAAGAATAATAATTTAGGCCATAGCCGATTTATCCACCAGATATTTAAATTTGATCTGCCAGCTCAAAAATAATTTCCTCAAATTGTTTCTTTTTGGAGATCCTAGTTCTTGAATACCACAATCAAAAAATGTGTAAAAAATTAAAATTGAGCTATTATTTATTTTTGTTTATATTTATTGTGTATTGTAGCTTCCACAACTAGTGAACAGAGTTTGCGAAAATGGACTATTGCCTCTTCAAATTGCTTTATCAGCAAAAAGCTTAAAAATTGCTGAGACTCTTGTGAAAAGTGGAATGGCTGACATAAATGCTGTTGATATGGAGGTATGAATACAATATATTTGTCAATTTACTAAATATTTGTTTTAACAGGGATCCACGCTGCTAATTACTGCTTTGAGAAATGGTGACGTTTTTTCAGCAAACTTTCTTTTGGAAGAAAAGTGTCTTTTAGACTACACTAAGTAAATAAATATATTAAAAAAAAATAGAAAAAATATATTATTTTAAAATGTAACGTTTTAGCCCATCATCAGATACTGCATTACATGTTATATGTAATTACGATGGAAATCACGAAAATTTTGCGGAAATAATAAACGTTGGAGTGAATATTTTACAAAGGAATCCAAATGTAAATATCCAAAACATAAAAGGAGAAACACCATTGCATATAGCGATTGTCAAACAAAATTTAGAAATGGTAAATCATTTACTTAAAGCTCCACATATTGATATTAATTTGCGCACTTTGGATGAAAAGTGTGCTTTAGAACTGAGTTTACTAATGGGAGATCAAGATTTTAAAATAGCCTCAATGCTTTTAAGTATGGGCGCACAGCCAAATTCTATAAAGTCAAAAACTGGAGATAACCTCATACAAGTTTTTGCAATGGACGAAGATCTAGGGGAGCAAGCAGCCATTTTTTTGGCAGATTTTGCCGATCTCGACTATATGAACTTGGGAGGGCTTACAGCCTTACATATTGCAGCGTTAAAAAATAAGCCAAACCTAGTGAGAAAGTTAATGGCTAATGGTGCTTCGTGCAATTTACAATCCATCGAGAGTGGTTTAAAATCAGTTTTGCATGTGGCAGTTGAAGCTAATTCCGTTGATGCCTTAGAAGCTTTTGTTCAGACAAAAAATAAAGTCCACGATGCTATCGATTTTGATTGTAAAGATATTAATGGTAACTCACCGTTAAGCCTATGCTTAGCTCTTAATAGAACTGCAATGGTACCAATTCTCATTCGAGGCGGCTCAAATGTAAATGCAAGAAATAAGGACAACTTAACACTTTTGCATCAATCAATTAAGAATGGAGACAGTGATACATCAATATTTTTACTAGAGCAAGGTGCAGATTATACTGCTGTTACAGGTAAATTAATTTATCAATTTTGTGTGTGTTTCTAAAAATTTGATTCTATATATAGATGATCAGGTTTCTGCATTGGAGTTGTCGATCGAGTACGATCTACCTAGAGTCGTGGATGCCCTTTGCACAAGAGGATTTCCACTAAGATCCGATAAAAATGGAGCTTCACCATTATGGACAGCTTTGGAGTTTGGGCGCGAGGATGTGGCACGGGTGCTTGTGCGACATGGTGTTGACACAGACTGCTGGGACAACGGACCTGAGGGATGCCAACAAACACTTTTACATCGTGCAATTGATGAAAACAGAGAATCAATTGCTATATTTCTTATTCGAAGTAAATGCGACTTAGACTCTCCAAAACAGCCAGGCCCCAATGGGGAGGGTGGAGATGAGGCTCTGGAAAAAGCTTCCCCGCTACATTTATGTTGTCAGTGGGGCTTAACCAAAGTTATGCAGACACTAATTGATCATGGTGCTAATGTTAACGTAATGAACGCTGAAAACAAGTCCCCACTTCATGTAGCTATTGAAAACCAACATGAAGAAATAATATCCGTTCTTCTTTGTCACCCTACTATAGAACTAAAGCATCGTGATAGGTCCGGAAATACGCCTTTTGCAGCCGCCTTAGGCATTCGTAATCACAAGGCCGCCCTACGCATTTTAGATAGATTTCCTTCCGCTGCCGAGCAAATGGACCAGCGCGGCAGAAATTTTTTGCATTTAGCAATTATGAAAGACGATTTAGAAAGTGTTTTGTTTTTGATAGCTATTCAGGTAGATGTAAATTCTCGAGTGCATGATGTCAATCAATCTACCCCCTTGCACCTTGCGGCTGCATCGAATAATGAAATGATTACCAGAAATCTGATTTTAGCTGGTGCACGTATGAATGAAAGGGATGCTGTCCAAAAATTGCCCCTACATATCGCCATTGAACGCGGAAATCTTCCTGCAGTATCTGCTTTGATTCAAAATAATGCCGACTACGACGCAACAGATGCTGACGGCAATAATGCTTTACACATTGCTGTTCGATGCGGTCAGTTTCTCATTGTACGTGAACTATTAACAGAATCAAGAGTAAACGCAGAAGCAACAAATTTAAAAGGTCGAAATCCTATGCATGAGTTGTGTCGTATTGTGGAGGATAATACAGCCGCACTTATTTGCGAACTTTTTCTGGAATGTATGCCAAACTATCCAATTGATGTTCCTGACATGGACGGAAATACTCCACTTCTTCTTTCCTTTATGCGAGGTCAGTCGCCACTTTGTAAAATACTTGTGAAAGCAGGGGCGTGCCTTGGTACTGAGAACAGAGAAGGAGTAAATATATTTAATTTCAAGCTAGCGACAGATCAATTACTTCACAAATTGTTGGACATATTGCCAAAAGAATCGTCGTGGTCAGAGTGTGACTTATGTCAAGAATGTACAACTAGATTTACGATTACTATGCGAAAACACCATTGGTAAGAACAGGAAAATATTGATTTATAAATATTATATTCATATTCATATTCTTTTCGTTTTGTTTCTTTCTCTTTTAAGCCGGCATTGTGGACGAGTTTTATGTTCCAAATGTTCCAGTAACGATATACCCATTTTGAAGTTTGGTATCAACAAACCAGTCAGAGTTTGCAGCGTTTGCTTTAATGTACTGCAAAGTGGAATTGGATCATTGTCATAGTTTAAGAATAACACTAATACATTAATTACTTTTTTAAAATGGTGCACGCACTGCCGTTTATTAAGAAGACAAAATAAACAAATTTAAAAGTCATGATAATTTCATTTTTTTTTTTATAATAAAAGAATAAGTTTTCATGTTGTTATATAATGATTTCGATTCATAGATTTGCTAAAGCTCGAACATAGTCTTAAGGGTTGTTGATTCGGTACAACGAATATAATTACAAAATACGTGGTTTTTATACTATCAAAACTTTAAAGGGAGTAGTTTTTAAAAACTTTCGAATGTTGCAGGTTATTAGACAGGTTAATAAAAAAAAAAAAGGATACAAAAATTTGAATAATATTATAGTGACTAAAGATATTTGAGATGAAACAAATGAGCTGGTAACTGTGCACTGTTCGTCCGCCAGCGCACTGCGGACTCCGTTGGTCATTGGCTTGTGCGATAGGGCAGAACGCGGAGGACAGGGTGCTACAATTCGAAAATGCAGCAACATGAGATGACGCCGGCCGCGTTGTAGGCATATGCGAGAACTACTGCAATGACTAATAGCGTAGGCCGTACTGAGACAAATGTGGCATACTTTGATCTGATCCACGATCGCCTTACAAGGACGGCAGTACTTTGTGAAAATATCCGGTCATCTCCGTGTAGTGTGATTCTATTGGCAAAGCGTGGTGTTCCCGTTTCAGTAGCCACATGGAAACACTGGTTTTGGTTAGTAAAGCTGTAGTTCGAATCCGTGGCTGGAATGATAAACATGTGCTTGGTTGAAAAGTCGTTGGTTGATTTCGATTTTTGACTAAGTCGATGCTGACTAGACGATCCAAAGGATACCAATTATCTTTTATTTGGGCTAAGCCTATATGGTCTTCTTTGAACAATTTTTCTTGGGTCTACTAATTTAATATTCTATTCCTAACTCTAGTCGAAGGAATTCCATTAATAAAAGCTTTTGAATATTTTTCCAATAGATCTTGTAATTTATCTCTATCTTCTCCAACAAGATCGGTATTTAATTCACAAAATTTATCATCATTTGAACAATAGTTTACAGGTTTTGATCTAATAATTTAGAATTTTCCTGGTGATATTATAACATTAAATCCAGGGTACAGTACATCTCGACAAAAAATAATAATATCATTCTTCAAATACTCATTGTCCAAAACATGAAACAAAACTTCAATACAGTGTTGGTTAATTTTTACGTTGCTATGTATTTGTAATGTGCTACATATGCCGCCACTACCAATACCCTTCAACATCACTACATTGTTAATTCGTTTACCAACTTTTTTAATAATATTCCATCATTTTGTGGCCCAATTGGCACTTGATTGTTGAAAGTTTCGGACGCTTTATGTCAGGTGAAGATATTTTCCCTTGCAAAGTTTTCTTTCTTTTGTTGAACTTGAATGCTTTAAGCTCGGTTTTTGAAGTAAAGGTTAGGCGCTGCAATCTGTTATCAACGTGAGCCATCTTGGTAAGCGTCACAGAAACTGCAATTTCTTCCACATTAATGTCACGCCAAATCGCGAGAAGTGACGTCATAATTCGACTAGCATAATTGGAGAGACATTCGCCATCGGTCGGACAATTAGCTTACATTGACAGAAAGATTGCCGCTGGCGTTTCTACACTGCCAAAACGCTGCATGAAAAGTTCTTCAAATTCGTCCCAAGTTATGTCAGGATAACATGTTTGTGCAGGCAACTGCGACGCACTACCTTCCAACGATGCACCCAAGGCCATCACCAACGCGCTGCCTTTTGCGGTATTTTCTGCCAAAATTATATTTACTGTAGAACACCACGTTGATGCGTCGGCGCTATCAAGATCCGCGTTGAATTTTGGTAGCACAATAGTTTTTTATTTGTTGTTTCAGGTGACGCTGATTTTGCAGCTTTGATAAGCTCGATCAAATTTTTATTTTGCATTTCCATTAAAATTCGGCATGGTCCATCTGATTCATTAGGCAGCGAGCCAGATCCCACTTGTTGCAGCATTGTTATTATTTTCCGACATTGTAATAGCGCAGCGAGTTTCGGTTTCACACGCACGAAATCCTAAACGCAACTACCAGCGTTATCTCTTCATCATTCTGTGCTTACCACCGAACCACACTCGGCGACAGCGACATAACGCTTTCGCCCCACTAAAACGGTACTTCTTAAGCGATAACCAAACACAGCACCGTTAGAGGCTGATGCCATGTTACTATAATGATGAAATTAATCTTTTGGTGAAATTCCAGAGACTGTATACCCATACACTCATACCAACATCCACACACTCTAAGTGTGCGCTGAAATATTTATTTCCTCCGTCCCAACAAGTAATTTTTTTTAAGTACAACAAAATTCGTTATATTGTGGGCATAAAACGCTGAATGGATCATGCTTTACGAAATTTTATCATTTTCAGTGAAAGGAACTAATTTTTTGGGATCTAGATTTTGTTTTATTTCATTTATTTGGGAATGTACAAAGTTGTGTGTTTCCTTAGTCGTTCTGCGCTCCTTACCTTGTCCATTACGACCGCCTAGAAATTACTCACGTCCAGCCAAATGGTTTCACTTCCAGGTTTCCAGGAGCTGACGTTCTTGGCTAAACCTGCCGCACTCGAACACAGCGTACTCCGCCGACGTTCGCACCACGTGGAGACTCCACTGGTTTCGTGACTAAGCCTGTAGAGGTAATCTCGAAAGCACTCGTGACCGCAAAGGACCTGTGTTAAATGAAAATTCACCCGACCGTGTTTTCTCTCTTGCCAGGCTTGCAGGTTGGGAATCTGTTTAAATGTCCGGGGCCTTAGCTGAGTTCTCCCAGAGGAATGAAAATCATGAAGAGACTTGCAAAGTGGTCTATGGCAACAAGAATAAATGAACACAAAGGAGACGCGAATAAACAAAAAAAGCATTTAACTGATTTCGGAAATGAGAAGATTTTGGACATTGAGAGATGATAGAAAACGATTATGACGTAAAAAAGCCTGCAAATACAACATAAAGCAATAAATTACAAGGAAGATATAGATCACACCAATTTTATTTACGCGGTAGGAATTACAGTCGAAAAACAAAACAGTTCATAAACAACCTTTGATAAACATAGAAATCTTAACGATGGAAACACTAGACACACAGAGGAGTTGGTGCAATATTAGGTTAGAAGTGAAGTCACTGTTAAGAAATTAATGTACGTAAAATTATATGTTAAAATCTAGTACAAACCTATATCTGTATATGTATGTAATTAATTTTCCAAAATAAATTAGGCTCCCTGAAGAAGACATCAACGTTGTCGAAACGCGTAGAAGATAATCTGTTGTAAAATGTTTTTTTATTATCTTTCTGGTAATCTGTCGACCCTTGATTTGTTTCTAGTCAATACTTGTCAAGCCATTCACTGAAGTTAAACAGCTGATACAATGTTAGATGTATTCTTTGAAAATCATTTGTCTAGTATCCTTCTGTATGACCAATTTCCAGTTCCGTACTTTTCCAAACATGACCTTATATACATGACATGTGACTTTAATTTAATTCTAGAACACACTGACTACAATTTCAGCTTTAGAAACTTAAAAAACCTTGACTACAGCCTTCTTGCCCAAGAATGGTTTTTGTACAATTTGATAAACATCAACATCAGTTAACTCACAACTTTTGGCATTGCAATCAAATGTCCTTTATTTGTATGATAAAGCTGTTCCATTAAGCATTAAATGAATTACAAATGCAGATGATAGTTTAAGCAAAAAAAAAAACTACTGTAACAAAAAATTTGATTCTGGGATATCCAATAAAGGGACATGGAAAACTATTAAACAACATGGAATAGGAAAACTAATATCAACTTCTAAAGCAGGGGTAAATGTTGAAATCCTTAAATCCTTTTCAACTCGTATCTGAATGTTAAACCTTATAACCACTGTGATACTAGTTCTAATTTATTTGTTATGTCCTTGAATCTATTCTTAAAAAGAAGTCTAAAGTAATTGGGCTGGACGAAATCAACGCGAAATTCATATAAGGACTTGCATATTTAAAATTTAGTTTATGTCCTGTTTTATTTGTCAATAAAACCTGATCTCCTATTTTTAAATCAAAATTCAAAGTATTTTTGTCGTAACTAATTTTTTGTTTTAGCTTATGAGATTCTAGCATTAGTCTAGCTCTCTTAAATGACTGTTCTAATCTAAATGTTGATTCCTTTGCATAGTCTTCTATATTATAAAGGGGTTTTATGTTATCTATACTATTAAAATGTTTTGGTAAATTTGAAGTTTTACCAAAAACTAGCTCATATGGACAATAATCATGTGCAATAGAGGGGGTCGTGTTAAAACAATAAACGCAGTATCGTAGCCATACATCCCAATCTGTTTTGTCAACTAAGATATATGAACGAATGTACTCATTTAGTGTTCTGTGGCTTGAATTGAATTGAATTTAAATACTAGATATTTAGTTAAATCGCAGATGAGTGTTACTGCGTATTCGTTTCCATTATTAGATTTTGGTAGTGGATCAATTGTATCCACAATTACCATATCGAAAGCTCTTTGTGCAATTTCGGTTATAGTTAAGATTTGTAATGCCTGTATGACATCCTTGTATTGGATCATCATGGAAGGTAGACAATATAGCTTCTTTTTCTTTATTATTTCTTATTACGGCTTGGTCCTCAAGAACTAGTGGGATGGTTCGAAGGGAGACTTAGCTTAGGCCACCAGGCGGGTCGCAGGTTGCGGATAGCAAACGACCTTCTGGGAAGGTTAGTTGCGATAAGCGCAAGCAAATAAGCAACCCCGGACAAACAGCGGGTATACCGATGGAGGTATACCGACAAGACGCTTGTTTGGCCGTCTTAACACCGTAGCCTTACACACCCCCTCCCTCACAACTACCTACCTCCATCCTATCCCCCACATCTCACCTCGGTGCCGGACTAAGGTGTCATTCGACCCGTGCCGATAGTCAGCCTGGCTGGGGGCCCGAGTAAACAAATAGCCCAGTCGCAAACGGAGGGTTCAGGCAAGCGACCGTCTCTCCTAACTACGCCTTACCCGGGTACGGTGGA